CAGGGTTTAATGATGGTTACAAAAAGATATTAATCTCACCTTTGGAGCCAGTCTGCCAAGGTCCCATTCTGTGATTTGTCCATGGAGACCACCAGAGAACAGCCTGCTTCCACACCAAACAAGTGACTCAACTGATGTGCCATCACAGCCTGGAATAATCTGACATGACGCAAAGTAACTTAGTAGAGTATCTACGAATGAAAAACATCAGACTTCCCTTCTCTGCTATTACTGGGTAACTGGAATTTCTGAATAAGCCTGCGGCTGCCCAGGGCCCAGACTACTTTGAAGTTAACTGCATGCTACCAGGTACCATGGAGCAGAGTGAAAAGTGAAGGGGGGGCTGGCATTTCAAAATTAAGCATATTAAACATCAAATTTCAGGGGGGGAATGTTTTTTATTTATCTTTGTATTTTTTGTGCAAAAAGTGGGGGGCTGCAGCCCCCCTGSCTCCACGGTCCCTGGCTATGTTTTCTTTTCCATTACAGTCAAACCAGCTCATGCGTTCCCATCGAGCAAGGTAAGTAAAGTCATAGCTGCCATGCTGTTTGACGATAAAAAAACATTTCTAATTAGCTTCTCTTATTAGATAATCCAACACGGCAGCTTTTTTATTGTTATTTATATCTAGAGGGATTTTGACCCATGTCTTTGCACTCCAAGAATAGAGGTTTTGCACCATCAAGTGCCAAGCCAGTAATCCAGCTTGGGCCGCCTGTGGTTTGATGGCAGAATAATAAAATCCCTTTGCTCTTGGGAATATAATTATTTCTCATGTAAAACGATTGTATTGTTTCTGCCATCTAACATGGCTGCCGTCAGATAATAGTGCAAAACCTCTATATATATGGTAGCTGTTTCCAGAGTTACTTCAGCTTACCAGTTGTTGATACCATTCGTCTTTTGAGCACCAAATCTCAATGCTGCTGTCAGCCCTTCACAAAATAACAAGAAAAATCCTAGTATTAGAAAAAAATCGATGTTTCAGGGTAAAACCAGATATTTTTTCTCTGTACCTCGAGATGGCCAAGCGAGGCTTTGCTTTAACGTCTTCAAACGCCAAACAATGAATCGCCTGTGGCGTATATTCTATGAATCTGACTCTATGGACCTTAAACTTCATATCTGTTAAAGAATATCAGAAATCGGTTAAAAAAAACTGACTTTTCTAGACGGTTTTTCTTCGAGTTCCAGAAAAAAAGTTTACATCTTGTTTACTACACGTGCTAGGACTCAATCTCTCTCGTCCATTCTAAAGGCTTGGTTACTTGGTATTGCCGCTGACTGGCAGGTAATGCGGGCTCACAGCACGTGGAAACAAAAAAAAAAAAAAAAAATCTGTATTTTTTTGGCAGAATATTTGTTTTTAGGCAGAAATTCTCTGCTATTTTAGGGGAATAATATACTTTGAAGCCTACTAGGGAGTGATCTTATTCGTTRAATATGGGAAAACGTAAACGGCAGAAGGTAAGAAAGCCTTTRAAGTTTTTTAGAGTAACTTTGGTTTGAATGGTAAAAATATCAATATATGAAAGTTTCAAAAATTTTGTTTCAAACGAAGGAAAAAAGGTTGATAATAATAACAATATCGAACGAACATTCCTCAAGGGACAGTATTCTGTGCTATTTTATGCTGTTTTTAAGGAATTTTTCAAGTTTATCTTGCAAGATCTATATCTACCAGACTTCTAATAACATTGTTAACAAGCTTAACTATTTCATGTCATTTAGCTTAAAACTAACTAATTTTCCCCTGCTCTGTTACTGCCGTTTKCATTACTAYGYGGCCACCCCAGACACAAATCGCATCGTKTAGTTTGCAATAGACTGCCGTCAATCAAACACCTCATTCTACTTGGATGTACTCAAAGTCTTTGCAATCGCTTTYGGAACTTTCCTTTGTGATATCTGTCTGAGAAAGTTTGATAGAAAAGCCAACTCACTGATCTAAACGTGTATAAATGGCGTCAACATGAATGATTGACGGCAGTCTATTGCAAACTACATGACTCGATTTGTGTCTGGGGTGGCCGTGTAGTAATGCAAACGATGGTAAGTAATACAGCATTTAGAAAGGAATGTAAGCATATGAGAAGGGTAAAGAGAGTGTTCTTACTTCCTAAATGCTTTATTACTGAATTTATTACAACAGAATGTTTTGAAAGTATATAATATTGATAGGTATTACATGTAAATGTAGTAAGACATAATCTTATACTAAGGAATCATGCATGATCACGAGTAAAAATGAGGATTTTGTCTACTTTAGAATTTCATTTAGGTGTGTTTGTAATAATTTAGCTATCAATTTTATATTTATGTTTGTATATTTAGATTATGCAGGTCCACATCAGGACTCTTGTCTTGCGTATTTTTTATAACCTGTTTTATCAAATAAACAATGTATGTATGTATGTATGTAGACATTTCTATGTGCATGTAGTTGAAAATGGGATTATGAAAGATCCAAAGAAATCTGAGATCTGAGACCGAAAAGCATGCTGCGAATTGTGATACACAATGTGCTACACAATTATGTGCAAATTGTGATACACAGCATTAAGAAATCAAGATTAAATCTTTTATCATGTTGTACTTGTATGTTAATGTATATCTGTAATATCATTTTAGTTTAAAGGTAGGAGAGACAAAAAAGTTTGGCATGAAATAACAAAAGAGAATAAGATGTTTGAGAAATACTACAAGGTATGTCAGTGGTCTTCAAAATAAAGACTCTGTACACGTAATATATACACATGGGGTKGCATGGGWGAGGTAGTGGTTTACCGCTTGCCTCTCACCACTGTGGTCTAGGTTCGAGCCCYRGCTCAGACTCGGGATATGTGAGTTTTGAGTTTGTTTGATGTGTTGTCCTCTTCTATGCCACAAGGGTTTTCTCCGGGATCTCTGGTTTCCTCCCTCTATAAAAATCATGTGAACACCTTTACTACCAGAATCCCTTGAGCACTTTCTTTTGTTCCGTTAAATATTACCAATTGTCTTACTATTTTCATGAGGAAATACAAATTTGAATAAGAAAGGATTCGCCAAGCATTTTGGTAGTGGATGTCAAAATTAATGACGCCATCATCAAGGGTGGATCCAGGGGGGGCAAAGGGGGGCTGAAGCTCCCATTTAGCAGAAAAAAAAAAAAAAAAAAGCTGAAGAATTAGATGCTTTTTCTTTTTGTTGTTTTCCGTTGTGTTGATGGAAAAAAATCAATTAGCCCACCCTTCCATAAAATTTTGGCTGGATCCACCCTTGATCATGCAAGTGTCCTATTGTTCAATTCATTTCTAACATTATGTAACGAAATGTGTATTCCAGGCACAAAATATTATTCCTGAAGAAGAATGGGATGATTTTATGGCTACTTTTAAAAAAGATCTTCCAAGTACCATTAGAATAACAGGAACTAGAAGGTTGGTATACAGCAGGGATAACAACCTGTGTATTTAGCTACTTTTTATTTAGTTCATACTTTCTCTCTATTTTAATGTAGCTTCCTTGTATCCTCCC